TATTTTATCTCTTCATTCAATAAAGCATAACAGTAACTTATAAGGTGTGTATTGCTCAATATCTAAATAATATGCAACTAGAAGATGGTTCTTATAATATTTAAGTTATAGATCAGGTGAATTTATCTCAAATTAACCCGAACTTGGATCAATAAAAAAAAATTTAAAAGCTCCTTTTATGGCTGATTCTACTATTTTCTATATGTTTCTTTGGATTTTATTTTTTAATTCAGAACTTTTACTTATTTCTTTTACGTTTTTTGATTCCTAGCTGTTTTTTTTTTTTTAATAAAGGCAGCGATTCCTAATTTATTTAAAAGTTTTTTGAGTTTGCATCCAATTTGTATTATAATAATTTGTGTTTGTCCTCTAGCTATGGAAAGTAGCGTTTGGTCTATGGAACATGCATACTGTTTTTATGTCGATTTTGGACCATGTTGAAACCGTAAATAATGCACAAGAATCCTCGTATGTGAGGTTAACTTCATGTCTGATAATGAGATAAATGGTTTTTTTAAAAAAATATTTTTAAATTAAAAATATATTAAAATAATTTTTAAATTTTATCTTTGATATTAACAAAGACATTAAAATTATTAAAAACTACTATAAAATCATTAAATAAAAAATATTTTAAAAAACATACTGAACCATGTCATCAAATATAATATAAGTGTATGATTTTATTTTTTTAGCCTGTTTTGCAGTTATGATTTAAAAAAAAATTATAAATTATAACCTTTTTAAATTCAAGCTTTTACCATTATTTAAGATGAAAATAAAATTCAAACACCGAAAAATTAAATAACTTTAAAAATTGTAATAAGTTTAATTACACTACGTAACAATATTAAACGAAATCTAAAGCGTGGTTGCTAAAGAACAGGGTGAAGCAATCGATGCGGGAAAAGATCAGTACTGTTGCTTCCTTCAACTCAAAGTATTGGTGAGTTCAAGAACAAGATGATTCATTGGAGATTCAAAAGGGTTGACGCAGAAAGAGGTTAACTTTTTAGTGATTTTATTGACCGATCCCTTATTTGATTTTCTGATCATCATGACAATATTCCTTTCACTTTAAATAAAATAATTTCTCTCAACAATCAATGCTCTGTGAAGCCCTCATTGGCAAACAAAATGTATAAAGTTCTTCTTTTTTGTTGAAAATAATCAAAAACCATGACCATATGGCATAAGCCCATGCATGAGGCTCCTCCACAATACCATGTTCTTCAAGACTGGTCAATATTTGTGTTCCCATTGGCTTTAGTCACAGCTCGCAGCCAGGTCTGCCGACAACGGTTTTGGCTCCACATTCTTATAAGCTGTATTCGAAGGATTTCAATGGCCGGCATTTTAAGATCCATGCAAGCACTACGTCTCTAAAGGAAGGCCACTGTGCTTTATAACTATAATTTTAAGAATAACAAGCTAAAAAATCATAGTTTTTTATTAGCTAATGTTCTTAAGAAGGTTTTTTTTTTTAGTGATATCGATATAAAATTATAGTAATTATTCAAATATTTTTAAATAAATGATTGAGATGTATTCTTTTGTGCAAATCTTGTCGGATCCCACCATATATGATTATTATAATAATTTGTTTTTGTCATCTGGCCATTGAAAGATTATTTGAGGCATGAAAGATACAAGCAACTATGTTGAGATTCCACGCTTATGTAAGGCTTAACCAAGACGATAAGTAGGTAGTTGGCATGTTAGCTAGGGTTTCCAAAAGTTGAAAGCACAAAATAAAGCCATCCGTTGAAAGCATATAACTATGCAAGTGGATCAAGATTCCTACTTATAATTATGTATTAATATATTAATATATGCTATCCGTTGAAAGCATATAATTATTGATTTTATTTTATTTTTTTATTTATTAAGAGATTCATATTCATACGGTACTGGTTGACTATGTCTAGATATATTTACTGGCAAGAAAATATTTTAATTTTTTTAATTTAAATATCCTCCCTTGATATGTTCCTATCACCCAAAAAATATATATATTCTTTAGCATATGACAGGAGGCTGAAAACCGTCCATTAAGTTTTAAATGGCTATATTCATCGATCACTCGTTATAATTTTTAGGATTTCTTTTTCTTAAATTAATTATGTAAACGGATAACATATTAAATCACTTAAAATTTATTTAGAAGTATAGTTGTGATTTTTTTTAAATAATGTTCTATATCAAAATATATGTTAATAATTTTATTTATTTTTTAAAAATTATTAACATATATTTTGAGCACGGAGGAGAAGAGAAGGAGTTTAGGAGAGAAAAGAATAGAAAAAAATGAATATTAATATTTTTTATATATGAAAAAGAAGAAGAAAAAAAAAAGATAGATCTATTGTGAAATTAAAGATCTAGGCTTTTTATTAGGATGTTTTATCGATGGTTTTATCAACAGTAATTAAATATTAATATTTTTAATTGTTTCATCGGTGATTCCGTCCATAATATTTAATTAAACTTTTTAATTTAATAAAAAAATTTCAAAAAAAGTCAAATATCACTGACAACTTTTCAATTTATTGGTGATTTCGTCTATAATATTTAATATAAAATTTTAATTTAATCTAATTTTTTTAAAAACCCAAGCTTTAAAAAATATTTGTTTAGAAGACATGTAACAAACAACTACGCAAGTGGATCAAGATTCCTACTCAGAATTTGGATTTTTTCTATTTTTTTAATCAAGTGTATCAAGATCTATTCAACATATTTGATGTATGTATTGCACAATTATTTAATTTTTCATATTTATGCAGTATTTATTGGAGAAAATGGCCTGCAGATTTTTCTTTATTGTAGCTTTTCTCTCTTCTTGAACTCTGATCTTGGTATGATTTTTATTTTTTTAAATAATTGTGTATTTTATGATTGTGTGAGTTAGTCAATTATCTATGCATATATTCATTGATGCACAGTGATCATACCATATCCGTAGGGTCATGTACATCATCGTCAGCAATTACGAAACCTCATGATATTTTTATTATTTAATATATAAATTATGTATCCTAATTAGTTTATGTGTTGCACACCTAAATTTTTTAACCATACATGATGCCTACTTTGCATTAGTTTTTCCCGAATCAGTTTTTTTTTCAATATTTAGCCAGTAAATTTATGTGATTTAATGGAATTAATTTATCTAATATATAAAGATTTTCTGCCACTATTAATTTTTCAATACACGAGTTTTCCATTCACATGTAAATCATGTGGGTCATGCTTTAGCACACTTTTATCATTTAAAACTACTTGCAATAACAATTTTTTTATTTTATTTGAGGAAACTTTATTTTTCAGAAAATATATTTTATAGATTTAGCTGAATAAATAAAATTCTAGTTATTTTAAATTCTTACAAAATATATACATCATAACTCGAACTTGAAATCTGTTGTGCAGATCTCAAATCCTTTGTTATCATGTCACGTCCTTTAAAGACCTTGCAATATTAGCTATCCATTAGCTAGTATTTTTTTATAAAAAAATAAATAAATAGACTTTTTCAATGTTTTTTATATAAAAAATAAAAAATTATGTATACATTTAATAAAATAAATTAAAAACTATATATATATATATATATTAATAAATTGATAAATTAATAAAAAATTAAAAGTTGGAAATAAACTAAGATATTTGGTTTTACAACTCGAATCTTTGAAATAGTTTTGTTTAAAGACTTTGTTCACAAAAATTATTTTATTATTTAGTTAAATTATAATAAAAATAGATACACAAGAAATTGATTAAATAAATAAAAATCAAAAAATTATTATGTAAAGTTACACATATTAAAAATATTATCTAGAAAATATTTTTTATTTTTAATATAAATTTCCTAAGGTAAAAGTAAATAAGAATAATTTCTCAAAAAATTAAATATATACAAAATAATTAAAAGATAACTGCTATTTAAAGTGTCAATATAAATTTTCTCTTTTTAATGTTAGATTACAACAACTTTCTCTCATATAAAAAAATAAAATTTAAGACAAATTGATTTTGCCCTTAAATACATTAAATATTTTGATTAAATTTTTTTAAAGTCACTAATTTTCGTTGTATTTTAAACTTTAATTCCTGGCCATTCCATTCAACTATTATCCAACAAATTAGCCTATAATTTGGTACCAAATTAAAAAATAAAAAAGTTGGAAGATATATTATATAAAATAAAAATACCCATTCCATAAAAACAATTTATTTCATAATTCAACACAAACCTTAATTGCTATTATTTTAACCTTAATAATATCAATAAAAACATATCTAATTACACTAATTAAAATCTAAATGATCTCAATTAAAACAAATTCCTCAATTATGATAATTTTTATTAAAATTCAATGCAAACTCTATTTATTATGATTTTAACCATAACTTTATTAATAGTATCAATTAATTGAAAAATTACCTAATTGTATTAATTACAACAAAATTTATCTCAATTCAAGTAAAATTATCACATATAAAAAATAACCTAAAAATCAATTCAAACCCTAATTTATCTAATTCAAACCTAATTCATTCCATAAATAATATTAATTGTATAAAAATATACATAATTGCATCACCTAAAACTCTTAATTACATTAACATCAACATCAACATCAACATCAACAAAATACTCAATTATTAACACATAATGCAATTTTTTTCAATTCAATAACGAAACTCATAAAATTATGAGACATAATAATTATTTTATCTTGATTTTTTAGTAATTAGTAGTGATTCTATCGGTTGTCACAATGAAAAAACTGTTAGGCTGACGGTTTGCAATAAAATAAAATAATAGGAGATGAGAGAAAGATGAATTTTTTAATTCCATACGTATAAAAAAATATAAAAAAGAAAATTAAAAAAAAATGAATATAGAACACTATTGAAGGGAAGAGAGTCTCTTTTAAGCTGTCTTATTGTCATTCGATTCTTGTTGCTAATGATGATGGGACTGGTGGTTTGAGAGAATTACTGCAACAAATTCTATTACTTCTTCTCTTTGGATTTCACTTCAGAAAATTTCCAAAAATTGCCTCTAGCCCTACTTCTTGTAGTTGCAGAGACGGGAGAGTTTCTTTCATGCTGCTTTGATTTGAAAAGAGGTCTGTTTTTTCCTTTGCTTTCTTCTGGTTTGTTTTTGAGGGAGTCTGTTTGGTTATTGAGAAAGTTGAAAAAAGGTCTGTTTTTTCCAAAAATTGCCTCTAGCCCTACTTCTTGTAGTTGCAGAGACGGGAGAGTTTCTTTCATGCTGCTTTGATTTGAAAAGAGGTCTGTTTTTTCCTTTGCTTTCTTCTGGTTTGTTTTTGAGGGAGTCTGTTTGGTTATTGAGAAAGTTGAAAAGGGCTCGACAAAGATAAGGAAATCTAATAATTTTCAAGCTGCTCTGTTCAAGTCTAGCTTAGCTAGGAGAATTCAAGTGTTCTAAAGCTGATACTATATTACTATATACATATGTGTGTATGTATGTATGTATCTATGTATGCTTATCGTGATGAGATTTGCGCATCATTGATTGACGTGGAAGAGGGGCTCTTTTTGATGTCCTAAAATTTTTGAGTGTTTGAATATGTTCTGCTTTCCTTAGGATGTTCTTTTTTAGCAATTGAAAGTGAGTTTCTTCTATGTTTCTGGCCTGGATGGAAGCCAAAATTGATGTATGATTGCTTTTGTCTGTGAGGAAAACAAGCTGTTCTGCTTCCAACCTTTCCTTTTTATGATTGCAGCTGTGCTGCTTCGGCCTGAAAACAAGTTGTTTGTCAATTAGTTTTGGCTTTCGAGAGCTTTAAATAGTTGATTGTCAAGATATTAACACTGAAATAATATGATATGTTTGACAGCGTGACCTTTTCCATAGTTAGATCATTTCATCCATAGATCTTTAGAATCTGTTGTTTTCTGTCTATTGATACAAATATGTTCATCATCCAATAGTTTCAACCACAAGCTTCTCTTATGACAACAAAAAAACTAACCTTGAGAGTTCTTTCTGAAAAATATGAATACTTGCTTCGTAACCGTACATGTGAATGCTTACAGGTACAAAGACGTCTTGCACAAAATCGCGAGGCTGCTCGTAAAAGCCGTTTGCGGAAGAAGGTAGGAAGGACTATCCACCATGCATTAAAAACTGCTGGCCTACAAGCAATAAGAGGATTGTTACTAACTGTGATTTTAATTTTTATTTACAGGCTTATGTTCAGCAGTTAGAATCAAGTCGTGTGATGCTCATTCAGTTGGAGCAGGAGGTTGACAGAGCTAGACAACAGGGCCTGTATATGGGTGGTGGAGCAGATGCTAGTCAGCTAGGTTTTGGAGGACCTACAAACTCAGGTATGTTTGCCAAAGTACTCTATTACCTTTTGTTCTGCTGCCGAACTCCCAGATGGTGGTCTATCAAGTTTGAATTACATGTCTCTCACTTTGCAGTGGGCATTGTCAAATGTTTCATGCTTTAGACCTTTAAATTATTCTTAAAAGTTAATGTTTCACTTTATTTTCTATATGAGCTGTCTTTTTCTTTTTTCTTTCTCTCCAAGTTAGTCGTTTACTCTCTGTTTGATTCTTGCTAGAGAATGACAAAATTATATAAGAAGATAGGAGGTTTAGTTTCTAGTATATTCGTAAAATTATTTTAGTTGAAAAATTTTCAGTTTGCTTGAGCTCATTTGAGCACCGGAGACCATCCAAAGTAGAAGCGATTTGTTGCATTAATTAATTCATATACTTGTAACTCGATCTTCATGCACTACTACTACGTATTATGTTTAAACAATGATCAAGCACTTCAATGGCAAATAAAAAGCTGAACTGCTGTCCTCTTTATTGGCTGACATGCCTGAAATTAGCAATTAAAATATGGTCCTAATAGCTTGCTGTCGATACATGACTTCACCTGAAAAATGCCTGTATTTTCTCTGTTAATTTCTTGACATTTAACTTCTTGTGGCTTAACTTTAAACTTTTTCGTTCACATTTATCTATCAACCATATGCTGACTCTGAAGATTCTGCAGGGATTGCAACTTTTGAGATGGAGTATGGGCACTGGTTGGAGGAGCAAAACAGACATATTTGTGATATGAGGACTGCTTTAAACGCTCATATAAGTGATGTAGAGCTCCGCATGCTTGTAGAGAGTGACATGAGCCTGTATTCCGAACTTTTTCGCCTGAAAGCAACTGCAGCAAAAGCTGATGTTTCCTATGTGATGTCTGGCTTGTGGAAATCATCGGCAGAAAGGTTTTTCTTGTGGGTTGGAGGGTTTCGCCCTTCAAAGCTTCTTCAGGTGATGAATTAGTGATTTAAAATTATTAATTTAAGGTTATATATGGGGGTGCCGTTGAACTTATGAAATACCTCATTTTGATCTCACCACCTTGCCAAGGTGGGTAAACTTGATCTAAAATTTTGACAACTTATCACTGCATTCTGGTCTGCGCTGATGCTCGGCTTGGTGTCTTAAATATCTTTCACGTCGAGCATTACGCTGGTAATTGTTGAAGTGCATGACATGTTGCCAGTCTGGTTTATTAATTACGCAGTTGGTTTTTGGTCATTGTCTGCTTTGCTGTAAATATGGTTAGGGCCCTGGTTACTCCAAAACTGTGGTTATTGTGTTGTCTTGCACATAATAGCCAGCAAGTCCTGTCTAGTCATGTAAAGTGCAAATATTTATACAGTGATAATTCATTTGGAGGGTTCTGCTATTGGTATAGAGTCATGCTAATTGCACGTGGTTGTTAAAAGAGCATTTCTCACTTCCTAGACGTAAGTATGGGCACCAACATATGTTATAGATTAGCATCTTATCATTTGGTTCATATGATTAATAAGTTCTTATATCATTCAAATGGTTGTTTCATTGACTCAAGTATTCATTTTATTCTGTGTTTCTGGACCTTGTCATATTTTCTATTCCGACCCAGTTTCTTCTGAGATATATTCACAAATTTATTTTGATTACAGATTCTCAAGCCTTGGATGGAACCCTTGACAGAACAGCAACGTGAGCATGTTCAAAATCTTGGACAGTCATGCCAGCAAGCTGAAGAAGCTCTTTCACAAGGTTTGGAAAAAGTCCAGCAAAGTGTAGCAGAGGCTGTGGCAGCTGGTCAGTTCGGTGAAGCAAGTTACTCGCCTCATATGGAAACTGCAATGGAGAAGTTAGAATTTCTGGCCCGCTTTGTGCAGCAGGTCTTATAATGCACCTTCACTTTGCATTCTCGAATGGTTTTAGTCTAAGTTCTTTAGGCATGTGCACTCATAACACATACACAATCCATGAAGTAATCACTTCAATTTCAGAGGAAAAGGCATTCATAACTTTCATTAAAGCGGTTTTGACCCGAAACGGCCCGAAACTCATTTTTCATCGCGGTCGACATGGTGGGACCTGTATTGACCTGGTGGACTCGGTTTTGACGGAAAATGACGGTTTTGACACGAAACGGCCCGAAACTCATTTTTTATCCCAGTCAACATGGTTTAACCCGTATTGACCTGGTGGACTCGATTTTGATCGAAAGATGCAGTTGACTCGAGAAAATATATTTTAAACTCTTTTTTTATTTATATTTTTTATTTTTGTTATGAATAATAAAATAAAATAACATTCGAGAAAATTTTAGTGAATCCAAAATTGGGTTAAACAACTGGAGCCATACGCAGAAAGAGAAAGGGCATCTTAGGGTAATGATGTAATCTTATGTGTAGACAATTCAAGCTGCTGACATTTTTCAAGCAGCCTCCTACAACTGGAAAGTTTTAGATATAAATAGCCATTCTATCAAGAGGAAGCTTGTGGTTAAATCAATTTTCAGTGCTGCTACTGTCTTGCCATCAAATGATATATCACGTTGAGTCTGCAGGTGAAACTGTCATGTAAATTGTAGTCTACTTGTGTTTGTATTTTTGTTCTGCCTTGTACATAAATCGTGAGAATTGCAAATTATTTGTTGCCTCCCATCTCCCTTGCTTATACTGAAATGGTCACTGTAGGCTAGGAAAACCCTACCCTAGCTGACAATGAACTCGAGGTCAATAATGAATGGCATGGATGTTTTGCTGCCGAAATTATGTAATATCATTGATGCACAATTAAGAAGATGCAACTCATGGTCATTTTGTTTCCATTAGTTTCTGTTTCATTTCCAGGGAATTCTGACTGGGACAGCTTTAGTTCATTTGTCTTGTGATCCCATAATGAACATGGATAATTACTGGAAATAACCTGGTTGTCATACAACAGGATAGGGTTCCAGCAACACAAGCAAAGCCCTAACTAAGCTAAAGCTATTCAAAAACCACTCAAAAGAGATGTGCAAAAGCAAGCAGCAAAGCAAAAAAGAAAGCGATGTTGTTACTATCGTATTACTAGTTCTACTAATCTTGCTGTAATCATTAAAGCATGCAACGTTTGTCAGCAATACTGAACTAGCCAATCCATGTCATTCCACTAATTAAAACGACAAATCTTTGGACGTGTTCATCAGCCTGCCACTATCAATCCACCATCCCGAGCCCACACTTCAATGGCTTGATAGAATAGTTTAACATGATTGGTCTCTCCCTTTTTTTATCTAGCTAGTGATATTTCTTGTATTTTTCGTTTCTTTTCTTCTGTACTAGTAATTTTTTCCCTTTTTCTGGTTTGTAGTTTATGTTTCACGTCTTTAGTTTTTTAATCTTCTTATCCATCCCTGCCACTTTTATATCACCAGTTGAGCTCAATCAATATTTTAGTCTTCAGAATCCACATTTAGAGATGGTTGCTTAGGCACATGGCCTGATTTGGAGGGTATTGCTGAGTAACCTGGAACTACAAAGCCAATAGTTCTGAAAAATTGGACATTTAACTGTCCTCAGAGGTCCGAGGTCCTCTTGCAATGTAAGTTTTTCTTGAGTATTGACTTTGCCTGCACCTTAAAAACGAAAGAATCTAATGCCTTGCCAACACCGTTGACCTAAAAATTATCTGTCGCACACATCGATAACCGCTAAAGCCTTTCTTGAATTATGTTTCCTTGCATGAGTTTTCAAGTAATGTATATCCATTGGTGCACATTATGACATGTGCATCCACAGAACATGGAAATACAGTTTGATTCTTTCAGGTAATATAATCAGAATCAAGCAAACTCATCCCATTGTTAGAAGGTTAGATATTTGCTCGATATTATTGAAAGCAACCTATCAGAAGAGATCGATGCTAAAAAATGTGAATAATTACATATTCATCTCAGCTTCTGGCAGGTAGCTCCTCACAACTTTGA